TCCTTCCTTCCTTCCTTCCTTCCTTCCTTCCTTCCTTCCTTCCTTCCTTCCTTCCTTCCTCTCTTTCTCCAAACCCCTCTATCTATCCATTTACCTATCTATCTACCACCTACCCACCCAACCTTTCTAGGGCCCATTGTCTTCATCCACAATTGGCTTTGTTCCTTAGTATCAAATACTCCTAGAAGGGAAAGTAGTAGACACCACATGATACTTTAATGAACAGTTGAAATATTTCTAACAAAGATTAATTAGAGTAAACTTCTGATATCCTCTGCAAATAAGAGGAACATAAATAGAAACTCTGAATGCTAAGCAGAAAGCAATGCTACTTCAGTGATTGCATGCAAACTTGTCAAAGCTGCTGTAACTGGGGCAACATCCAATACCCATACATCTTTTGAATGGGGGAGGAGGTAAGTGACTCCTGCAGCCTACTAATTTGCCCTTGTCTGCTTTAATTTCTAAGTTCAAGCTTTAAGCAAATACCAGATTTCTTGGTTGTCCATCTCTTTATTTGAAGAACAATCGGGAGCAGTTTCTTTAGCACTGTATAGTTGCCTTGTTTCTCAGAGTAGATGTGGATGGCGTCTTCATATTCTATAAATATTTGAAGGAAGGTCTATAGTTTGCATAAAGGTAGGCAACAGATACAGCTATTGAGGGAGCAATCATTTCAGGTGTTTCCTATGTGTATGGAACATTTGGAAGTATTCTGGAAACGGCACATTTTAAAACTTAAAATTTTGAAATTAACTACTAAATTGAAGAAAAGGTGAGGGGTGGGTAAAGAGAGAGTTAAGACAACTCTCTCTCTAAGAACATGTTCCTTGTCTACCTGGCAGACCCTAGACAATACCATTATCCCTGGGTCTATCACAGGAATGTGGCACCATTTTAGAGTCTAGGTTTTTTTGTGGGAGTTGCTTTTAAAATTGCAACGGAGGCCTGATCCTGATCCTGTCCCTCCCTCCATGGTGTCATTTTCAAGAGCTGAACTGTGGCCATTTTGGTTACTGAAAATGGTATGAGGGGGAGACAGACACATCCTTTCCCCTCAGACCATGGTCCTCAGCAGGATTGGGCCATTTAAAAAACTTTAAAAGCTCTAAAACGACAGACTTGAGGACACAGTATCATATAGTTTGGCCCTTAAAGAGCAGAGAACTAGGAGTTCTAAACTGGGTTTTTTGACTTCCACATACATTTCACAGTTCTAACTAGATTGTATTTTTCTCCAACCCAGATTTACATTTTAGGGTGTCTTATCTCTTTTGTGTTTCTAAGTTGAATATATCTCTTGATTTGTAGTTTTTTTCTTCTTCAACCCTATCCATTTTCATCCCAAACAGCCCAAGAGCTGAGACAGCTTCTCTGTATTCACAAACTCACTGAATCAGTTTCTTTTACAATATTGTATATGTCTGGGGGAAGGGGAGAGTTCTTGAACATCTATGATAGGGTTACCATTCCCCGGTTTGGGGCAGGACATCCCCAACTTTTGCGGACTCCTGCCCTGCCTGCTGCCAGCCAGCTGACTAGCGGGAGGAAATCCCCACCCAAGCACAACATTGGGTAATGTGGTGCTTTCACCCAGAAGTGAAGTAGGCGTGTCGAGGGGTGATGCTCTGGTTTGGGGGCAAAACTCTATGGTTTGAGGGTGATTTTTCCATATAAGTTTACCCCAAAATAACAGTGTCGCCCCCGATGTGCCTACATCACTTCCAGGTGATGTGCGATGTCATTTTCTGTGATGTTGACACGTCGGGGGTGATGTTTCCGGCTCCTGGAGCATCCCCCCATCCCCCCACTGGTATTTTGAAGAGACCTGGGAACCCTGATCATTTTAATGTATTCCTTACACACACTTACAGCATTGTGTTTTACCAGCACAAGCCAAGTTCATGCTTTTTCTAATTACCAAAACAATCCTTGAATGGATGCAACCTTCTTAGATTAGGAGTTCTTTTTCAGAAATATCTTACTGAACTGAATAGTGGGAGGGTGTAACTGTTAAATGGACATTGTGTGAAAGACGGGGGAGTGGAGAGCTGACATATTCATTAGAATGTAGATTAACCTGGGCTCACGATTATCTGCACCCATTATCAAGAAGGTACTTCTGCCCCAGCTTGCTTTTCAAGGAGCAGGCCCAGGTTTGAGGATGCCTAGCTCTCTTGGCCTTATGACTTTTTGTAGCGAGAGTTGGACAGTGACAGCTGAGGTGTAAGCAAGAGAATGAAGACATTCTAAGCAGCAAGGAGAACTTCAAATTCAGGAAGGAAGTGATAGAATAACAGAAGTGTGAGAGGTAATAAAATCAACTAGACAAGCAGCAGAATCAATGAAATAACAAAGGTCCAAGATGAAAATACTGAATACAGAGAATAATGAGAGGGTTTTAGTTGTAACGGGAAAAGAAAAGGACATATTTAGAACTACAGATATGATGGTGAAAAATATTAATAATGTGATTAGATGGGGGGGTCAATAGACAAACAGGTGACTCAGTGTGTTCATGGTAGAGTGCTTTTTTTTTAACGGAAACTTGTTACAGCCATCTGCTGTTGTTACACTAAGATGAATTAAAGCAGATCTTTGTGGAGTATAGCAGTGTATCTTGTGTGTGTGTGTTAAGTGCTGTCAAGTCAGTTCCAACCCTATGGCAACACTATGAATTAATGTTCTCCAGAAATGTCCTCTCATTGCTTGCCCAGAAACTGAGGGCCAAGGCTTCCTCTGTAGAGTCAATCCACCTCATGTAGGGTCTCTGTTCCCGCTACCTTCAACTTTTCCTAGCATTATTGTCTTTTCCAATGACTCTTCTCTTTAATCTTGTTCCACCTGACCATTTCCAGTTGTTCTAATTCAAATAAAGCTGTATATGTGTAATGAACCCTGTTGCTTAGAGGACATGCGTTACTTATAATTTTCTCTGTGTCAGGGTCCCTGTGGCCTTCCTATGCAGTCAGGGTGTTTTCTTTTGCATTTGGACTTCCTAAGAGGGACTGTGTTCTTAATGGACAATTTATCTGTATGGGGAAGAGGTGCTAGTCTTTCTCGTCCTGCTTAGAGCTCCCAGGTGAAACTCAGAACTCAGGATTGCCCCTTGCCCATTCTGGAAGGAAAATTGTAGCCAGTCTTGAGAGAGGGGACAGGAACCTTGGGTAACTTACAAAACTCTCTTTCCCAGGAACTCAGTGTGCAACTCCTAGTGTTGTGCAGCAAGGTAGTTGCTGTGGGTAGGAATGTGTCCCCTTGCAAAAGGAAATGTGGGTTTGCTAACTGCATCCAGGGTTTGGACCAGGTAAATTTCATGAACTGGTGATCAGTACAAGATGGTCATGTTAAAGACTTTATTATTTTGTTTGTTTTTGCTGGCTTCCCTTTATTCTGTGAGTGTGGGAGGATATTTTCTGGGACTAAAGATTAGGCCAGCTATTTACTGTTTTGAAAACTGCCAGTTATTACCAACTGTGTGCGCTTTTCAAATAACTCTTTGATTTTTATGGCTAGGGTTTTTATTCAAGGTGGGGTAACCTGGGCTCTCCAGAAATTACAGTAAAATCTCCAGACCAGTTGGAGCCATTTCCCATCCAAAGCTCCCCACTTCCATGACAGTATGCATTGTTCTTTTGATAGATGTCTACAGTTTGACATGGATGGCTGCTGTTTGGATTGTAGATAAGAACATAACCTTATGAAATGTTTAACATCAGATAAATTCAAACTTCCCTCTATATGTGAGGGGTGCACCCAAAAGATGCACATCTCCTGCCATTGTCAGAGATTACACAAAAAAGAATAAGCCTATTAAAAATACCTATTTTAAATATTAGAGAATTATCTGGATCTCATGCCTGATTATGTAGAAATGGGATGCTTGGCAAGATTTTCTGACTGTCCGGACTCTCCAAAAGGCACTTGGGAATTGCTGTGTGTCCACATACCTCTAGGTCTTGCCATTGGAACATAGAAGCTTTTGGACCTTACTGAAGCTTTTGAATACATGTGCGATATTTCCAGGACAGCAGGATATGGCTTTCTCGATGTCCAGATCCTCTTTTTATGCACATCATCATTATAGGAATAGAGGTGGTCCTGCAGATACGACAGGCAAGGCAGTAAATGGCTTTGTATGTGATAGCTAATACCTTGAATTGAACCCAGTAACTGATGGGCAGCCAATGGAGTGACTGTAGAATGGGAATACTATGCATACCCACCTAGCTCCTGATAATAACTGAGCTGTGGCATTCTGAACTGATTAGAGTTTCCAGGTCAAAGTAGTATAGTCTTGATGTTACTGTGTTGTGGATCCAGGTGGTGAGATCGGCCGTGTCAAGGTAGAGGGTCCTTTTCCAGGCTAGATGGACTTAGAATAAAGCCTTTTTTCTTTTTTCTTTGCAGCTACATTAACTTTCTTCTCCAGCAGTAACAGACTCAGTATTAACCCCTAAGCTCTTAAATGGGTAAGGATTAACAAAAGTCCATCAAAAGTGAGGTGCACAATGTTTTTCAAGATGTCCACCTTCCCAACCAGCATTACTAAAGTCTTTCTAGGATTTAGTTCCAATTTGTTCACTTGATATGAAAGGTGGCTACTGTGACAAAGAGGTGGCTGTCCTGTATCCAGTCACCTTTCAGCAGGTGTGGAATGGAATGATGGAGGGAAGCACAGTAGTTCTAGTCTGCCTCAGAGAGAGTGCAGTGATAGTTTTTGGGTCTGCCTCATTAAAAGGGCAGGCATTGAGAAAGGTAGCTCTGTTTGGTAACATGGCAGAGTGGTTTAACTCTACCTTTGGGAGAGAGTTTGTTGTTGCCATCAAGTCACAGCTGACTTATGGCAACCCCATAGTGTTTTCAAGACAAGAGAACTTCTGAGGTGATTTGCCATTGCCCAACTCTGTGTCACAACCCTGGTCTCCCATCCAAATACTGGCTAAAGCCAACCCTGCTTAGCTTCTGAGATTTGGCAAGTTCTGGCTAGCCTGGGCTATGAAGTACAGCACCTCTCCCTCCCTGCTGAAAGATTTAAAGGGCTGGCTGGTGGCGAATTAGAGCCTCCAGAAGCAGGGGAACCCCCGTCCGAACCTGGGGGCTGGCAACCCTACCTTTACACTTGCTACCTACCCTAAGAACATCTGGTAACTGAGGGGAAGGTTTCAGGTTAAAGCAACCCTAGTTTCCCTATTTGTTAATTAAAGCATATGTATCCCACCTTTCCTCTGGGTTCATGGCAGCTTACAATAATAGTTAAAACATCCCCATCTAAAACCAACAATAACATAGCAAGCCTCAGATCTCTACCCCTTTAAAGGTGCCTGCCATTTAAACACCTCAAAAACCCTGGCAAACTGGCAGGCCTTGTAGCGCCTCCTGAAGATCTCCAGGCAGGGGGCCCCCTCACTTCCTCAGGGAGCTCATTCCACAGAGCCAAAGCCACAGTGGTCAATGCCAGACAGGGTACCCTAAGTGGTGCAATAGCTAACAGAAGACTTCCTGATGACTGTAGTTGGTGTGCAGAGATATATGGAAGGAGATGATCTTTCATATATGCGGGCCCCAGGCCGTGAAGGGCTTTAAAGGTCATAAACAGCACCTTGAATTGAACTCAGAAACAGACTGGTGACCAAGGTAACTGCTTCAAAGTGGGCCACATATGTTCCTGGCAGCCAGCCCCTAACAGTAGCTGGGCTGAGGCGTTTTGAACCCATTGTAGTTTCTGGGTTGTCTTCAAGGGCAGCCCAACATAGAGTGTGTTGCAGTAATCTCACTATGAGGTTACAGAAGCATTTATCAGCATGGCCAGATCAGCTGAGTTTAGGTAATGAGCAAGTTGGCAGATCAGATGCAGCTGATAGAAAGCACTCCTGGCCACCATGCCAACCTGCTTTTCAAACAGAAAGGCAGGGTCTGTGAACTCCCCTGAGCTCTGACCCTCCCCTGAAAAATGCCAGTCTCATTCCACCTAGGACAAATGAATTCAGTCCTTCTAGAATATCAGCCTTCCTAACCAGCATTACCTCTATCTTGTCTGGATGCCTATGCTTTGATACTGTTCCAGAAGGGAACCAATTAACTGGAAATATATCTTATTTAACATTTCACCATTGGCAGAATAGTGGAAAGAGGGGGTAGTGGGAGAAGGGTAGGAGAAGGTGATGTAAGGGGCATGAAATTGTTAATTATATGTATTTGTTCCAGGGATTACAGTCTCTATATCTCTTTAGTTGATATTGAATTAATTTCCTAAAATCAAGTGCAAACTATTTTTACATCAGCATCATATAGTGTCTCCATCACTATATGTCTCTATCACTTATTTCATTCATTGAAGGGAGGGGTCAAGAACATGTTCTTGAGTCAGTATTATTTGGATAGATCTGAAACATTTAGTTTATTTAATCTGGTTAAAACTCTTTTACTCATTTTTAAATGAAAATTCAGATAGGTCAGCAGAGGTTCTTTTGTTTGTTTGTTTGTTTGTTTTGTTTTTAATTAATACAAAAGATTGCAGAAACCAGGGATGGTAAGAATCACTTCAAAGAGAACCAGCATGGAGTAGTGGTTAGAGTATCAGATCACAATCTGAGTGACTCAGGTTTAGATCCCCACTCTACCATGGAAGGCTGCTGGGTGTCTTTGGGTCAGTCACACACTCTCAGCCTAACCGATCTCATAGAGTTGTGGTGAGGATAAAATGGAGGAGAGGAGAGAGGTATCAGCTGCAGTGGGGGCCCCCCATTGGGGAGAAAGGTTTGGTATAAATGAAGTTAATAAAGACCTATTTCTCATTCTGACCCACTTAGAAGGGAATACTTCTCTTAAGAGTTTAACAGGTGGGATTATCTAAAAGCCATAATTCCTCCCCCAGAGCTTGTTTTGTTCATACATTGATTTATATAGACCTCTTAGTTGTTATTGATAGAAAATTAAATTACTAATTGACTAAGAGTTCCTTGTTCAGGTGCCTGTAAATCCCAGGTTAAAATAGCTATTCATGCTGTTTTAAACTTTGACGTTGGTATTAGGGAAGCCTTTCTCTGTCCCCTTGTAACAGGATTGCAACTAGGATAAAACGAGGTGATAAACATATGCCCTTTGGCTCCATGTGAAGGGGGTAGGATTGAAAACGGCCTACATAAGAAGCAGGTTACTTACTTATCTGTGGAACCTGATCTGTCTATCTGTAACTGACTGTGAACAATCAGTTGAAATAACCCACTACCTTCGGACCAGCCCAGTCACATATTCAAGGTTTCTGGTATTCGTGTGTGCGTATGTATGAGAAATTAGAATTGTTTTAACTGTGGTATAGCATAGTATAATGTTAATTGTCCATTTAAATTTCACGTTAAATAAAGCAGAATTGGTAATTTAGTGCTTACTAACTAGCCAGTCAAACTTGACAAGCAAGCTTTGTCATTTAATATGTTCCTTAATCAATGAAAGGTTCTCTTATGAAAGAGAAGAGAAGACATCGATTACATAAGTTCCTGTGTCTCAGAGTTGGCAAGCCAATGCGAAAAACATTTGTGTCACAGGCCAGTGCGTCAATGCAGCAGTATGCACAAAGAGATAAGAAACATGAGTACTGGTTTGCTGTGCCCCAGGAGAGGTAAGATGGAGTCTTTTATTCCTGAGTGTAATCACAGTAACAAGTGTGTACTTTCCTACCTTTCCTTAATTTAAATTGTTGCACTTTTTCATCCTACAAGGGCAATTACAGTTTTCCACCAGCCTTTGAAAGGTTGCATTAATAACAGTATAGATTGCTTGTACATTTCCATGTCTGAATTCTGAGTTTTTCCTCTCTTTCTCTGGTACCACGCCACTGTATTTTTGATAATATAGTTCACAAGTGTAACCCTGTATGATGGATATCTAGATCTAGCTCCCTTTTGCTATCACTGCTCACTAGGTAGCCTTGGCTACTCACCCTCAGCTTAAACCACTACAGGATTGTTGTGATAGTCAAAGGGAGAAGTGGAGAGCCGTGTATGTCATCCCAAAGTCATGATTTGTTTGTTGCACTAAAATTAGTCAGTTTTCAATACCTTTAGATTTTTTCTTCAATAATGTAAAAGCATGCACTATATCATCTTTAAATCTTATAAGTATTATTCCAATGAAAATATTTCCCGTATATAGCTCTGAGTTTCTTGGGATATAGCATTTAAGCCATGCTTTACTTGTATTTTACTTGGACTTTTTAAAGATTTTACTAAATATGTCAAAGTAGATATGCTTAATCGCATCATACTCTGATTAGGACACTGATTAATTTTCCCGAAAGTTCTCCAACTCAGATTTTTTAGAAAATTCACAAAGGGGGGGAAGTAAGCTGCCTGCATGGCTACTTTCCATAGATGATCACAAAGCAACTCTTAAGGCAGCTGTCATAAATTGGGTCATATTAGGGGTGAGTGAAGAAAAGATTAGGAGAGGAAAAGAGTACCTTTTAAAAACTATTTGTATTCTAAATTATTTTTAGAACAGTTGATCAGATGGATGGATGGATGGATGGATGGATAGAGATATAGATAGAGACATAGACATAGGGATAGAGACATAGGAGATAGAGAGATATAGATAGAGAGATATAGATAGAGAGATATAGATAGAGAGATATAGATAGAGAGATATAGATAGAGAGATATAGATAGAGAGATAGATATAGCGATAGATATAGCGATAGATAGAGATAGATATGGTATTCCTTCCATTTCCTTATGTTCAAAGGAGAAGGAATAAATGATGCTTTAAAAGGTATATGTGGTTATTATGAAGAAACACTGAACATTCATTGGTCTTTGCCAGTAGCAAGTGTGGCCTGAAAGGTAAACGCGTTCTTTTTTTCCCTCTTAAAGGACTGAGCATCTGTATGCCTTTTTTGTTCAGTGGAGCCCAGAAATATATGCAGAAGATACTGGAGAGACCACTAAAGAGCCTGGGTTTATAGTGGTAAAAAAATTTGAGGAGTCTGAAGCTGGTGACGATTCAGTTAATGAAGCAGCTGCTAAGGAGTGGGAGGTAAGTACTCGTAAATACTTTCTGTTACATTGTCCTATAAATGCCTACTAGTGACTTCATTATATAAAAGTCTCATTTAGAAAGATGAGATCGATTTATATAGAACAGAATAATAGCAAAATGCCAGAGGGCTGAAATCTCCCATGTAAATGTAATAACCCAAACATGATTATCACTTGAGCTAAGTTTGTATTATGTTGTGTTGTGGATGTGAGACTATGTGTGTTTAGTGCCTTATGTTAAAGTATGTGTGAATATCGTAAGTATGTACACTTGCGTACTATGTAACATCATGTGCAGCTCCCTCTTTGTCATGTGTTCGTATTTTAATAACTATACAAGGTGAAATTATGTTGATGTATGAAAGTCTTGATTCTGAGTGTAATAGTCTGTTGTTGCTGGACTTCTGTCAGAACCTGCTGTTTTTGAAAATTTACTACCAAGTTAAGTCAATGATAAAGAAAATATGGAAGCGGATTAATTTGACTACTCTGTGGAAACTTATTAGTACAAAGTGATCATTTACAAGAATTGAAAACCACACAATTTGACATAAACTTATCCTTATTATTTAAATCATTAGTTTGCAGTTTCATCTCTTTCTATGTAACCTTTTCAATAGGACAAATCTAAATACTGCAAGGTTTAATGACAGTAACATAGGTAGATTAGGGGGTTGTGTGTGTGCAGGCATTGAATAGCCACTTTAAGTTAACTCATGAATATCCACCCAGAAAATATAAATTTCCAAAAATGAGAATGTAAACTGATTTTTTTTTTAATCCCCGCAATAGAACTCAAAATCTTTATAAGAGGAGTTTGGTATTCATTGTAATGGTACCTTCATAATAAAAGGGTGTAAACTTATTCTTTTGTATCTGAAAATAATGAGATCCAGTCATCCCAGAGGAACTTTAAGTACCATCCTGTTCTCAGCATAGCAGTGGAGAGAAAGGATCCTAAAGGGAACCATTTCACTCCTATTCTGTAAACAGCAGGACGTGTATATTTGGGGGCTGATCTGTATAGAGGAAAAATTGAGCTAATTCGGGGTTTGGGGGAGGGTATTTTTTTCCCCCTTCATGCCAGAGTGGAAGAAGCATGTGCTGGTATGGCAGTCAGAAAGCTGTGGTCTTGGAGGCTGTTGCTCTGTAGTGCTGGTTGTTGGGGAAAAAAACATTATGGAGAGAATGGTATGTGAGCCCCTCATTAGTATTCCTGAACAAACTTTGGATAGAAAAGTGAGCAGGATACAGCAGTGTCCTGTTCATACTAGAATTTCAGTGCTTTTGTTATGGGGTGGGTCCATAGTTCATTGTTAGAGAGCATGTTTTGCATATATAAAGCCTTGAATTGAATCCCTAGCATCTCCAGTCAAAATATCATGGATAGGTAGACGACCTGGTCTTCATTTTGGAAAATCCAACTGAATCTATCAAAACACTGCTGTCGACCTTACGAGACTATGGAGAAGTGGCTGGCTTTAAAGTCAATTTCAAAATATCATGGGTAGCAGGGCTGGAAAAGGTTTCTGCCTATTGCAGAAAGGTGCCTGTTAGGTGTGACAGTGATATGATTCGATAGAGGGAAGCATCATATGATCATAAAAACTACTATAGTAACTTACTGTAGTCTGCATTTTTTGTAAACTTATTTTTTTGTGAAAGAAAGTATCACTATTAGAGGTGTGATTCTGACTTAGAGAAATAAATCCTTTTTCCTGAGTTAGCCCCCCCCCCTTTCTAAATTTGCTCTCTGAGTGTTTTAGGTGGAACTCGAATGGCAGAATTTACTACATTTTATAAAAGGGGTGTGTGTGTGCATGCGTGTGCTATGTTCACAGTGGCTATTAAACAATTTATGCATGTTGTCAGAAGTAGACAGTTCCATCCCAAATCACTAAGGGTAAGTTTCAGAGAGTGAGAGGAAGGTCAGTAATACAATTGTTTATTGAATCTGGCTTCTTTAGAATCTTCTTTGCTGTATGAACAACAGTCCATGTGGATGCTCAAGTTAGCACTTCAGCATCCCCCCAAAGGGTCTTTCTTTCCACCAAGTAGCAGCCATGATTTTATGTACATTTCTTCCTTCTATATGCTTCATAGTTCATATGTAGACATTCCCACACGACAGTTCCTCTTAGAGATAATCCAACTCTAATCTATTTAGTTCCAGTTACTAACAAACCTCAGGTCACTTCTTATTTTTGACATAGAGGGAGGTTTACTAAGTTAAATTTGAGAACAATTTTCTTATAAAGATTAGCTGAGGAACAAATATTGACTAGCTGTAACCATTCTCATATGGCAGCCTCCAAAATGTTTACCTTGAAATAAACTTTGGATCCAAAATATTACTATTTTGTGTGTGTACTCTCCTCTTTATGTGTTTAATCTCATGATAATTTTTTCTTAAAAAAAACCTCTGACTGTTATGTCTATATTCAGTGACACCAAGGTCAAAATATGTTGTGACAAGTTTGAAAGAGTTTATATAGAAGAGGAGAAAATAAAGTGTAAAAGAAGCAGGCTCTTTTTGAATATTCCTAGGTAATGTGTAAGCCATTGGTTAACATATATACATGCCAAGGAAAATGCTGACATTTAAAAAGCAGCCAAGCTTTGTAAATTTTATTTAAACTGTTTATTTTGCATATTGCCTCTCTCCCTAGACATAGTCATAAGATTTTGGGAGGCGATGGGGTCCCAAGGCCGCTGAGCCTGGGGCAGTAGCTTGGGTCCACTTCAGTGGGTCCTGTGGCCTCAGCTCAAAGGGGGGGGGGGGGGCTACAGCACCCAGTTTGTCATCTTCCTGTCAGTGCCTGGTTCACACTGCCTAGAGTGGGTGGGTGAGTATCTTCTGACTTCTGAGATGCACGCAGCACAAATAAAGGCCACATTGAGCTCACTGGCCTCTATTGAGAGATCCTTCTCTGATGAGAGGTTTGGATGTCGTTGCAATGTAGCTCCAGTGCTAGCTCGCCTCCTCCTGCAGCCATCTGAATAGGTGGCAACTTCTTTGCCCACCCAAGGCTACTGCCATTCCGAGGTGGGGCATTTTTAAATTACAAGCTAAACACTTCAATGCTGGGCCTAATAAACATTCACAAATCTGTCTTGCATTCCAAGTTATAACACAATTCACGTTTTTGCATTCCAGTCATTAAGAACACAAGAGAAGCCAATGTTGGATCAGGCCAATGGCCCATCTAGTCCAACACTCTGTGTCACACAGTGGACAAAAATACCAGGTGCCATCAGGAGGTCTATCAATGGGACCAGGACACTAGAAGCCCTCCCACTGTTGCCCCCCCCCAAGCGCCATGAATACAGAGCATCACTTGCCTCTGACTGAGAGTTCCAATCTATACCTTGTGGCTAATAGCCACTGATGGACCTCTGCTCCATATGTTTAACTAATTCCCTTTTGAAGCCGTCCATGCTTATGACCACCGCCACCTCCTGTGGCAGTGAATTCCATGTGTTAATCACTCTTTGGGTGAAGAAGTACTTCTTTTTATCTGTTCTGCTCAGCAATTTCATTGAGTGTCCACGAGTTCTTGTATTGTGAGAAAGGGAGAAAAGTACCTCTTTCTCTACCTGCTCTATACCATGCATAATCTTATAAACCTCGATCATATCACCCCTCAGCCGTCGTTTCTCAAGAGCCCCAAGCACTTTAACCTTTCAGTTTGGTGTAGTGGTTAAGTGTGCGGACTCTAATCTGGGAGAACCAGGTTTGATTCCCCATTCCTCCACTTGCACCTGCTGATGTGACCTTGGGTCAGTCACAAGCTCTGGCACAGCTGTTCCTGAAAGAGCAGTTTGTGTCAGAGCTCTCTCAGCCCCACCCACCTCACAGGGTGTCTGTTGTGGGGAGGGGAAGGGAAAGGAGTTTGTAAGCTGCTCTGAGACTCCA